GGGGGGTGGGGGGTAGGGAGGGGGGGTCCCCGGGGGCGAGCCCGAGGGGGAGGACCTGAGGCCGCTGTCCTCCCTCCAGAAGGCGCCGGCAGCCAGCCTGCCAGGCCAGAGTGGACTTGGGGGAGACAGGGCCGAGGCGGGGGGCGGGGGGGGGGGGGCCGGGCTCTCCTGCGATCCCAGGCCGGCGGTCTCACCCCAAAAGGGAGGGACGGAAACCGGGGCGGGTGGGGCCGGGCGGGCGGAGGGCCGGCGGGCAGGAGATCAGAGCGGGATTGTGTCATGGAGCCGGGCTGATAAGAACCCAGCGGCCGGCCCGGGCAGAGGGGCCTCCCCCAGAGGAGGGGAGGGGAGGGGAGGGGAGTCCCCCTCGGACCCCGTGCCCCCTGCTGCCAGTGCGCCCTGCCAGGCTGCCCGGACCCCCGGGGCCTTCCGGCTCCTAACGTGGGAAGGGGAGGCTGTGAAGCGTGGGGGGCAGGGGGGGCTCCATGGCACCCCCCCCCCAGACCTACGACAAAGCGCGCCCGCCAGCCTCAGTTTCCCCGGCTGCACAGCCCCGGGGAGACGTCGCCATGGGGACGGGGCCAGGACTGAGATGCAGGGCCGTGAGCCAGCGCGTGGGGGGGGTTCACTGGGGAATGTGGGTGCAGAGAGGGGTTCGTGGAGGCCTAGGGGTGGGCCGCATGCCAGCCACAGGCTGCAGAAACGGCGGGGGCAGCTAGCGTGGCCCCAGGGGAGGAGATGGGCATCGTACCCGGGTCCGGATGGATGCGATGGGGGGGATGTTGGAGGGCAGGAAGCTGCTCTCTCACCTGGCCCCTCTCCGGTCTCCCCTGACTTCAGGGAGCTCAGCCCTAACCCTCCTCCCCTGAGAGAGGATGGTCTGCCCTCAGCCAGTCCCCCCTTCCCACCCAGTCCCCCACCCTGGCCGTGTCATCACCCCGTCCAGCACCCCCAGACCGCTCGGGGTCTGGGCACCGCGGGCCGGTGTGGGGAGGGGCCTCTGCCCCCCGGGCATCCCCCCGGGGTAGCATCGGGGTGGCCCAGAGCGTGGCTGGCGGGGGGGGGTAGCCGCCGGCTGCAGGCCGAGTGGGTCCCCGGCTGCTTCCTGTTCTGTTTATTGCCTCTGAGCTCAGGAAACCACGGAGTGAGCCGCCCCCCGGCCCCCCAGGTTCTCTAGCGGGAGCCGCCGTGGGCTCGCTCGGCTGGAAAACCCAGCGGGAGAAGGAAGCTGTCCGCTCGCTCTGACATCAGCCTTGTCCCGGGGCCAGGAGGCCGGGTGGCCGGGCGGGGCGGGAGGAAAGCAGCTGCTGGTGGCCCCGTGACGCCAGGCCGCCCCCCGTTCCCAGGGCGGGCGGGGGCCGGCGGGCAGGGAGCGGGGATCACGGAGACACAGGCCGGGCGCCAGCACACGCGTGTTCCCAGAAGCTCCCACCACGCGGGGCTCCCAGACACGGGTCAGGCCCCCGACCCGGATCCACGCCCTCGGCCCTCGGCCCCACGGCCCCACAGGGGGCTGGAGCGTCCGCCAGAGGCACGCACGCTGCAGCTCGCTCTCTCCCGGCCACACACGGGCCAGCAGACAGCACAGGCACACGTATGCACTCACAGGCACACGTATGCACGCACGCAAGGCCGGACCCATCTGAACCCAGACGTGCAGATACACCGAGGCCCTTGCCACACACACACACACACACACACACACACACACGCACCGACATGGGAATGCCTGCTTGGGCCCAGACAGACAGACAGACAGGCCCCTGGGGAGGAAAGGCCTGTGACTGCCCTGGGCCTCACCCGGGGAGGGCCAGGCAGGGAGGGGGGCCCGGGGCGGAGGCTATGAAAGGGAGTGGACAGTGAGGGGCTGGGCCTGGGAGGGCCCGCCCGCCGGGCACACCTGCCCACCACACCCCCCCGCGGAACCTCAGGCCCATTCATTCATTCCTGCCGGAGCCGGAGCCGCCGGGGCGGCCCCTGAGATGCCGCGGCTGCAGAGGGACCTCAGGCCCGGCGCTCCTCCGCCCCCGGGGCCTGGCTGTCACCATCGATACCGGCGGCTCGCCGACGGTGTGACCGCCACCCACGGTTAGACACACATCGCACCTTGCAGCCCGGGGGGGTGCCCACGCTGACACATGCGGGCGGCCACGGAGAGCGCGGCTCCCGGAGGGGGCTGGCCCTCGCTCCGGGCGGTGCCGCTGGCTCTGGGACTCCGGCTCCGGCTCCAGATAGTGTGCCAAGGCCCCGCTGTCCCTTGGCTTCTGCACCGGCCCCGGGCTGGCGTGAGATTCAGGGGAGCCCGGCGGAGGCCAAGGTGCCTGCAGAGGCAGGCAGGCCACCGCCACGGAGGGCTGATGAGTGGGCGGGAGGAGAGGGGCCTGAGCTCCCTCTGCAGCTGCCGGCATTCTGCAGATGGAGACACTGAGGGCGGAGCGTGGCCCTCGGAAGCCCCGGGGCTGCTGCTTCCCTGGCCGTTCCGGTCGGAACCGAAGGAACCAGAACGCAGCCGTTCCGGTCCACCTTCCTGGGCCGGACCCTCGTGCGGAACCGGCGGGAAACGCTGGGGGCGGCTGGCAGGGGCCGGGGCAGCTTCCGGAGCGTCCCTGGCCCCACGGGGTGGGACTGGCCCCTGCCAGGCATCTGATGGGTGAGGCTGAGAGGGGTGGACACCAGGCCCAGAGACAGCAGGTGGGAGATAGGGCGTCTGCTCCCTCTTCCCCCCCCCCCCCGCCTGCTCTGCACCGAGGGGACCAGGAGGCCTCCCTGGCCAAACTCTCACACCCCGGTGGTGCCCTGGCCCTGGGATGCCACCCAATCAGGTCCTCCCTGTGGCCACCCGAACCCTGGTTAGAATGTCTGTAGCGTGTTAGAGTGGCTATCACGTGTTAGAATGGATATCGTGTGTTAGAATGGGTATCTCGTGTTAGAATGTCTGTAGCGTGTTAGAGTGGCTGTAGCGTGTTAGAGTGGCTATCGCGTGTTAGAGTGGCTATCACGTGTTAGAATGTCTGTAGCGTGTTAGAGTGGCTATCGCGTGTTAGAGTGGCTATCACGTTATCTGCCTTTCTCACTTAACATCCTCCTGGCCTGTGAGTTTGTCCCACTCCCCCCCCCCCCCCCCCCCCGCCTTTCAGAGGAGCCAGCGAGTCTGAGGGGAGAAAGCCCTGCCCTGAGCTCTGCCCTCGGCAGTGGTGTGGGCAACGCGGCTCTCAGCACCCCTCCCCGGGGGCACCCGCCCCGCCTCGCCCCAGAGCTGACCTGCGGAGCGGAACCCGGGCCCCAGGGAAGCCCACACGCGTGCGCGCCCGCCCCGCGGCGCTGTGGGGGGAGGCGAGGGGCCCCGGGGTGCCCACCCCCTTCCCCGCGCGCTGAATAATGGGGTGCTCCTGCCTCTGGGAACGGGCGCCCCACGCCAGCCCGGGCCAGCATGACAGCATCGCCCTTCTCCTCACAGCCTGGCCTGGCCCCGGGCCAGACCCGCCGCCCCCTTCCTCCCGGCCACCTCTGGCTCCTTACTCACCCGGGGAGGCGCCCAGGTGGGGCCGGCGGGCGGGTGGCCGAGAGCGAGCGGCGGGCGCGGGAGACCTCGCCCGGCACCGGGGGAGCTGGGGGAGCGGCCGGCACAGAGCCGGGCGGGAGGGCCCCGGGCGGCGGCTCGCCCCGGCGCTGGGTTTCTGGGTCACCGGCCTCGGGGAATTCCCCGATGCCCAGAAAGCTGCTTACCTGGTGACTAACCGCCGCGGCTGCCCACACAGGATGCCCGGCTGTCAGGCTGCCTCCCGGCCACCCTGTGCCCAAGGCCCCGGCCGGGCTGCCCTCTCCCCGGAGTGCCCCGGGCTCCGGGAGACAGACAGACAGGCAGGCAGGCAGGCAGGGGGTGTCCCCGCCCCCGTACCTCCCGGGGCTCCCCAGGGGGTGGCTGGTGATTCAAGCCCCTCTGAGCCGAGTGTGTCGCCTTCCTTGTGAGAGGGGCCCCGGGGGGTGAATCAGATTCTGGGGGCGGCGAGGTCGGGTCAGCCACGGAGCTCACCCCGGGCCTGGGAGGCGCTGGGCAGGGCCAGGGCGGGACATGGCGGCAGCGGGGGGCGGGGGGTGGGGTTTGGGGATGAACACACTGCCATGCCAGCCCCTCCACACGACCCATCTCACTTTTAAAAAATATATATATATTTTATTGATTTTTCACAGAGAAGAAGGGAGAGGGATAGAGTCAGAAACACTGATGAGAGAGTCATGGATCAGCTGCCTCTTGCATGCCCCCTACTGGGGATGTGCCTGCAACCAAGGTACATGCCCCTGACCGGAATCGAACCCGGGACCCTTCAGTCCACAGGCTGATGCTCTATCCACTGGGACACACCGGTGTCGGCCCATCTCACTTTTTCTGGGCCCCCCTGAGGCTCGAGGCTGCCCAGCCATAACCCCTCTCTTCTGCCCAGTCGTCCCGCCTCAACACTCGTCTGTCAAACGGAAGAAGGAACCCCTGTCTCCCAGGATGGGGGGCAGGGCCCATGCCCACACGTAGAGGGCTCGCTGGGCAGCCAGAACTGCCCGGAGCCCAGTGTCCTCACCGCAGACCCGTGGTGTCGGCCCCCTCGTTCCCATTTTACAGATGGGGAGACTGAGGCCGGGGGGCGATGCCCTCCCCAGTGTCACCCGGCTCTGACCGAGGCGAAAGCACACGCTGCACACCTCCAGGCGCGATGCCTCCTCCCCGGACAGCGTCTGGGGATGGCAAAGCGCGCGGAAATGTCCTCGGGCCGCTCCGACCCGACTGCTCAGGGGGTTAGAGCCTCGTCCCCATGTGCCAAGGTTGCGGGTTCGATCCCTGGTCACGGCAATCCACACGCATCCACAGACAGGTGGAACAGCAAATCGGCGTCTCTCTTTCTCCCTCCCTCGTCCCCCTTCTCTCTTTCCCCCCTCCCTCTCTCTCTATCTCTTCAATTAAATAATAATAATAATAATAATAATAATAACCTCCAAACAAAGCACAATTTAGCATCTGCTCCGGTGTCATCCCGAGCCAGGCGCTGTCTGTCCGCGGCACCCATGAGTGTCAGGCTCCACCCCGTCCTCAGAGGGGGAGTAAGACCCGTCCCCACCGTCCGGGCCCTGGAGGGCTGCCTGGAGGAAGAGGCCTGCAGGCCCGAGGCCTGGGCCCCGCACCCTGCTGCTCTCCTGCAAACTCTCTCTGCGGAGCCTCAGTTTCCCCACCTGGAAAACAAACCATCCGGGACATTCTAGGAGAGGCTGGTGGGTGACCAGACCAGAAAGCGAGGGGCAGGGGGAAGCGCCTCGAGGGGCCTGGGCAGGCGGGCGGCCGGGGCCTGGGCTCGCGGAGGACCCAGCGGGTGGCTCGGCCCCGCAGCCCCCGGCCCAGGCGGAGGGCGCCCCCTGCGGGCCCCCACGGCCCCCTCGCCCCGAGGCCGGCCAGATCCCGGCAGGCCCAGGGCGGGAGAGGCCGGCTGGGATGAGGTCACGGCTGGAAGGGGCCGGGCTGGGGCTGCCATCCAGGGTGGGGCCTGGGGTCACGACCCCGGGCGCAGGCAGCCAAGAGGGAGGATATGCCTTCCGCGAGGGAGCGGGGAGAACACACACACACACACACACACACACACACACACAGCGCCGGGAGGCGGGGAGGGAAGAAAACAAGCCCGAGGACAGGCCGGAGCTGGCCGGCCCGGCCACGTCGCAGGCGGCTCCCCAGGCCCCCCGGGTGCTGGCCATGGGCAGGACAGGGAGGCGGGGCCCGGCCGCCGCACGTGGGGAGCAGGGACCACGTCAGGTACCACGAGAGGGGAAACCGAGGCAGGAGAGGGGTTTGGTGTCTCCCAGGCTCTGCCCCAGCTTCCTGTTTCCTGTGGGGTGGGGCTGAGGCTCTGCAGCAGTGATGGGTGCCGGCAGGGTGGATGGGGGCCGGGGGGCGGGCAGGGGGCGGTGCCAGGCCTTCGGAGGCCGGGCAGGAGGATGCTGGGGAGGGAGGGGGACGTGGGGGGCGGGGGCGTGGGACGAGGTGGGGGGCGGCCCCCGGAGAATCAGGACGTCTAGGGAGAGACTCGGGCAGGGAGACCCAGGGGGTCCCTCCGTAGGGCGCAGGGGGCCCTGGCCCCAGGGATTTGGGGTCCATGTCTAACATCCAGGCTGAGTGGGTGTGGGGGTCACGTGCTCCCCGTGTCCAGGCCCTTGTGCAAGAGGCTGGGGGGCGGGGGGGGGTTGAGAAGAGGGAGGTGCCATGCCCTGGGCCGCGGGGCTGTCTGAGCCAGGCTGGGCGGGGGGGGGGGGGGCATCCGGGGGGCATGTGCTGACCACAGAGCAGTGCATGGGAGGGGCAGGGGCCTGGGGGGCCTTCTTTGCCCTCCCCCAAGGGAGACACAAGGTATTGGGGGGCAGGGCAAAGGAAGGAGAGCTGGCCTGGGCTCCCCCCGCCTCCTCCCTGCTGGGAAGGGCCCGGTGGCATTGGCAGTCTTATCGCCCCGCATCCCAGGCCCCCCGAACACAGGGGAGGCAAGCTGCAGGGGGCAGGGGTGTGTGTATGGGGCGGGGCAGAGGGGGCAGCAGCAGGCACGGGGGCCGTCCTGGCACAGGGGTGCTGGCTGGGCAGGTCTGGGGTGTGGCGAGGAGCAGGCGTGGGGGGCACTGTGGAGGATGGGGAGGGGCGGGCGGGGGAGCACGGGGGGCCAGGGAAAGGCCGTGGGCACCCCCTGCCCCCCACACCTTGGAAAACCAGCTCTGGCGCCCCCCTTTCTGCTCAGGGTTCGGCGGGAGGGCTGTGCTGGGGTCCCAGGAGAATGTGTGGGACAGGGAGGCCCCAGGTCCCTGCTCTCCGACCAGCACCCCCACCTCCTGGTAACTCAGTGGCTGCACGCCGGAGGCGCCCTGTGCTCCTGTCGCCCTGTCCCCCCAGACAGAGTTTGTGTCCCTGCCTTCAAGACCCGGACGCACCTGTGGGACCAGGCGCAGGGCGGGGGGGGGGGGGCATGACCTCCATCCTCCCCCGCCCCCCTCTGCACCCCGGGGAGGGACCCCGGGTACGAGCCATCGGCTAAGGCCCTCGGGTCTCCCCTTCAGAGGGCCCTCCTTCCCCAGGGGACGCCGGCCTGCCCTCCACGGAGGGGGGGGGGGTGCTTAGGTAACACCCAGAGCCCACCCCCATCCTCCCGGCCCTCCCCCAGCCGTGCAGGCGCGCTGATGGGGCGGGGGAGGAGGGGCCGGTCCTGGGGACCCCGGACAGCTGCGCCCCGGGGAGCTCCCCTTTCCCGGTGGCCACCGGCAGGTGGAGGGAGAATACCCTGAGCTGTTCATTTCCGCTTTATCACCGACTAAAGTCCAGGGTCCCAGCCCCTCTTCCTGGAACCTCCTCTCAGCCCAGCCCCGAGCCTGCCTCCTGCCCACTGTCCCCCCAAAACCCTCCATCGACGGGGGGGGGGCACAGGGTGCTTAGTCTCAGGCAAACCTCCCCAGACCCAGGTGAGTCAGGGCTGCTGTCTGGGGCGCCCACTACCGGGGGGACCCTGTCCCCCTCCGTCACCCCCATCCCCCACCCCCACCCCCCACCCCACCCCCCACCCTTCCCCATCTTCAGGGCAGAGCCGCTCCGGAAAACCACAGCGCAGTTTTGTCGAAGGAGAGTTCCTTATAATTTTATCAATCAGATTCTTAGAAGCGAGGGAAAAAGCCAGGCCTCCGCCCCCCTCCCGCCCCCCCCCCGCCCCCCCCTCCCCCCCTTTCACTCTCACTTTCTCCCATTCATAATTTCCTATGATGCACCTCAAACAACTTCCTGGACCGGGGATCCCTGCTAAATATAGCCGTTTCTCTGTCTTACACCACAGGCTCCAGTATATAAATCAGGCCCGTTTCCCATCCGAGCATGAAGCTCTGAGAAGGGCCGCGCGTCTGAGGTCTCCTCCTCCTCCGGGCCCGCGGAGCCAGCCCAGGATGAAGGTCCTGGCCGCAGGTAACCGGCCGCCCGCCGCCCGCCGAGCCGGGAGCCAGCCCTCCGATCCGGCCGGGACGCCCGCCCGCCGTCCGGTCGTCCGGGAGCCGCCGGCACATGGCCCCGGCCCCGTGCGCCCCGGCCGGCGGGCGGGCGGCCGACCAGGGGGCGCCCAGCCTTCCTCCTCCTCCTCCTCCTCCAGCTCCTGCGGCTCCTGCTCCTCCGGCTCCTCCTCCTCCTGCTCCCGCTCCGTCCAGCCGCCTCCCGCTGCCTCGGGACTCACCCTCCTCTCTCCGTCCGTCTTTCCGCTTTCTCTTTCCCGTCTGCGCCCGGCCGGCCGCTCCGGGGAGGGGCGCGGCCCGGGCCCTGGCACTCTGGCCCCCGCGCAGGTGCCGCCCCCGCCGCCGGCCAGAGCCGGAGCCGCAGGCTGAGCGCTAGGTGAGCGGCCAGTGGAGGGGACCCCCCCCCCCGAACCCCCAGGTGTCCCGGGGACTCTGCATGGCCCGGGATGCTGGGCGGAGCGGGATCCTCCCGGGAGCGAACTTGAACTTGAGGCTGTCCCAGCTGGGGGGGGGGGGGGTCTGAGCAGGAAGCTCCTGCACCCCGCCCCACCCCCAAGCCTCCGGGGTCCCCCAGACTCCGGGCTCCGGGGTCCCCCAGCCCCGGCCCCCCGGCCTCAGAGCCACCTGGGGAGGCCCCTCTGAGGGGACCTGGGAGCGAGCAGGGGGAGAGCGGGCGCCCAGGGGAGGGGCGATCGACGGGGAACGGGAACGGCCCCAACAGCTCCCGGCTCTCCTGCCACCTTTCACTTTCTTTCCTCCCGCCCACCTGTCGGCCGCGACCTTTTCCCTCCCGGCTGCACCATTTCCCTCTCTTCCCCAGGAGGCTCCGGGCCTGTGGGACCCCCTTGTCCTCGCGCCCCCCTCACTGCAGCCCCCGACCCCGGGCCTGGGGCGAGGAGGAGGTGGGGGAGGGCATGGGCCTGGAGCTGAAGTGCCGGGCAGGGCTGGGGGGGCGGCAGAGAGTTTGGAATGAGGGTTGGGATGGATGGGGAGCAGGGCCACAGGCATGGATGGGGTTCAGAGTTCTGGCAGGGGAGGGGCTGCATGGGGGGGGACAGAGATAGCAGAGACAGGGCGGGAGGGGGACCGCATGGCGTGACAGATTTGGGAGGGGTCAGCGGGTCAGCAGAGACCTATCAAACAGCACGTAGGAATGTGGCCGTCGGGGAGATGGGACCAGAGGGGGTTTGCTTGTGGTGTGTGTGTGTGTGTGTGTGTGTGTGTGTGTACCCCCTGGGCCGGGGCCACAGGGCTTCCCAGCCAGAGGGCCAGGGGGCTCGGGGCTGGTGACAGCAGCTCAGGGCCGGCCCCTTCACCTCAGTTCTCAGGGAGAAGCAGGGGGAGAGAGAGGAGGGCGAGGAGATGCGGAGACAGAGTCAGCCATAGGAGAGAGGGAGCCGCACAGAGGCCCGGCCGCCCGGAGCTGGAGCTGGGGGCCGGGAGGGTGCACGGTGCCCCGGGGCCGACCAGCGCCCCCCTCTGCCCGGAGCCCCCTCGCCTGCCCCGCCCCCGCCCGCCCCTGACTCCTCCGCGCCTGCCCGCCCCCAGGAGTCGTGCCCCTGCTGCTGGTTCTGCACTGGAGACACGGGGCCGGGAGCCCCCTGCCCATCACCCCCGTCAACGCCACCTGCGTCACCCGCCACCCCTGCCACACCAACCTCATGGGCCAGATCAGGAGCCAGCTGGTGCAGCTCAACAGCAGTGCCAACGCCCTCTTCATCCTCTATGTGAGCCCCCTGCCCCCGCACCACCCTCCCCCAGCCAGGGCCCCAGGAAGGGGGGAGGGGGGAAAGTCTGTGGCGCGAACCTGGGACCCTTTCGCAGCCGGAGGGAGAGAACGGAGAGGGGACTCGGTTCCACCTCCCCAAACTCCCACAGCTCCCGCCCCCGCCCCCCGCCAGGCCCGGAGCCTGGCGGTCCCGTTCCCAGGTGCCCGGTGAGGGGCCTGGTTCGGGGGCAGAGGAGCGGGGAGACAGCCCCCCCCCCCCATGGAGCCAGAGGCCGATGAGGGACAAAGGGGACAGAATGGGGGTGGAGCGGGTCCCGCTGGGAGAGGCAGTGGCTGTGGGTGTCGGGGGCGCAGAGGGTGAAAGGGTACACGGTGGGCACCCAGGCCCTCTGTGGTCCCGACCGAGGGGCTGCGGCTGCCCCGTGCCCTCCCCGGGGCACGCCCTGACCCTCCCCGAGTGCGGTCGCCCCGTGGCCGCCTCCGGCCTCGCCGCCGTGCTGAGGGGCTCGCGGGAGGGCAGGGGGTCCCTGTGCCACGGTGGGAGACTGCGTCCTCGGCTCTCTCGTCACCCCCTCCTCCTCCCCCCCTCTCTCCTCAGTACACGGCCCAGGGGGAGCCGTTCCCCAACAACCTGGACCGGCTGTGCGGCCCCAACGTGACGGACTTCCCGCCGTTCCACGCCAACGGCACGGAGAAGGCGCGGCTGGTGGAGCTGTACCGCATCGCCGCCTACCTGGGCGCCGCCCTGGGCAACGTCACGCGGGACCAGCGGACCCTCAACCCCGCGGCCGTGGGCCTGCACGGCAAGCTCAACGCCACGGCGGACGCGCTGCGCGGCCTGCTGAGCAACGTGCACTGCCGCCTGTGCAGCAAGTACCACGTGGGCCACGTGGAGGTGGCCTACGGCCCCGACACGGCCGACAAGGACGTCTTCCAGAAGAAGAAGATGGGCTGCCAGCTGCTGGGGAAGTACAGGCAGGTCATGGCGCAGCTGGCCCAGGCCTTCTAGCCGGGGCCACGGCCTTCCACGCAGGGGCCACGGCACCCGCCACGGCCACGGCACCCGCCACGGCCACGGCACCCGCCACGGCAGGGACTTCCACGCAAAGGGCCACGGCCTTCCACGAAACCGGCCATGGCCTTCTGCACAGCCGCCACGGCCTTCCACGCAGGGGCCTCTCGCCACATGGCCGGGGACCAAAGCCTCGCCAAACCCAAGTGCCTTCGGCCGGCAGAGCTCGCCGGCTTCCTGGTGGGCTGGCCGGCCGGAGCCGCTCCGGGGAGGACTCTGCCAAAACCGAGCAAAAGTCTGAAGAGCTCCCGCCGGGCCCTGGGGCGTGTGGGCTGGACTTCTGCCCCACGTGTCCCCGTGGCCGTGGCCTTCGTGGCCGAACCGGACACGTGACCTCCGGCGACCCTGACCTCGGGCGAGGAGGCAGGGTCGGGGGGGGGGGGTGGCCGGCCCCCCACGGAGTGACCGGCATTAGTGCCTTTGCTGTCTATGGGCAGACCTGGGAGGCCGGGGCGGGCAGGCCACGGGGGCTGGGGTCCCAGGACCCCGGGCCTCTGGGAGGGTGGGGCGTGGACGTCAGAGAAGGGAGCGCTGGTGGGAGATGCTGGGACGAGGGTGCCGGACGGAGGGGGCCGGGGGAGGCAGAGAAGCCGCCCGGGGCCGGAAGGTGGGTGTGGGGCGGCAGGTGGCAGTCAGGTGGGGAGGCGGGAGGGGACCGGTCTCCCTCGGGGGCCGGTCTGTCCCAGGGCAGGGGGACGGAGCCGTGCGAGGCCGCGGCCCCGGGGTCACACAGGTAAGGAGAGGGGGGAGCTGCCTCCGGTCCCTGGGCACGGGGACGGCAGAACTTGAGGTCAGGGTCTCGGGGAAGCCCCCGGGACCCCGGAGCACGCGAGTCTATTTATTATGATGCCTTATTTATATTAACTTATTGGTGCTTTCCGTGGCCAACGACCCCTTCCCCTGTTCTCTACCCCATAGAAATAATAGGGTGGCCCTTCTCGGAGCCAGGGCCAGGGCCAGGGCCAGGGCCAGGCTGGGCTGGAAATGGAGGATGTTACACGTGGGAGGAGCCTTAGGGGAGGAGCTCAGAGAAATGCCCCCCCCCCCCCGCTGTGTTTTGGGGTGTTAGGCTGGGCACGCTGTGGAGTGGCTCAAGGGGGGTCTGTTCCCAGGCCAGGACTGCATGCTGCTGGGCTCCAAGGGGTCATTCAATGCCCGTTCCGGGGTGCCCCTGGGACTGTGCACAGAGGGGCCCTGGGCCAGGCAGCTGGAGCAGCCGGGACCCAGCAGCACCCCGCAGGCTCGCCCACAGCGGGAGGCGCCTTCTGGGGTGGCCCGGACACCCACGGAGGGCGAGCTGGCGGGCGAGCGGGCGCGAGGGCCTGGCCGGCCCTCCGGACGGGGCAGGGCAGGGAGGAGGCCCTGGGATGCGGACCAGGAAGCTGTGGTCCCTCCCGGCCCCCCTCCCCCCAGGCCCCCACCCATGTCTGGGCTCCCAGGCAGGGAACCCGATCTTTCCCTTTGTGCGGGGGCCAGGCCAGCGGAGGAACGCCCGCCCGCCCTCCGGGCTGGGAGCTGGGGCAGCTGCGGGGAGCGGAGCCGAGCCGTGTCTGGCTGCTTCTCATACCCCGAGCGGCCGGCCGCCTCCCGTCCCTGCGTCCGTCCGTCTGTCCCAGCAGCTCAGCCAGTGCAGTGGCAGCACTTTCCCCATCCCACCCCCACCCCCACCCCCACCCCCATCCCACCCCCACCCCCATCCCACCCCCATCCCACCCCCACCCCCACCCCGCCCCCGCCCCCGCCCCCGCCCCCGCCCCCGCCCCCACCCCCACCCCCGCCCCCACCCCCACCCCCACCCCCACCCCCACCCCCACCCCCACCCCCACCCCCCCCCCCACCCCCACCCCCACCCCCACCCCCACCCCCACCCCCACCCCCACCCCCACCCCCACCCCACCCCCACCCCCACCCCACCCCACCCCCACCCCTAACCCCACCCCCACCCCCACCCCTAACCCCACCCCCACCCCCACCCCCACCCCCCCCCCACCCCACCCCCACCCCCACCCCCACCCCCACCCCCACCCCCACCCCCACCCCCACCCCCACCGAGGGCAGGTGAGCAGGCAGCAGGCCGGCCGGCCCGGGGTTGTCTGGACTAGGGTGTCAGGGGGGTGTCAGGGACCGTGGAGACCCCATGCTTTCCGACGGGCCGATGGGTTCGACTCTCAGCCCACCGCCCGCCTCCTCTCTCTGGCTCAGAAGGCCTGGCAGGTGGGTCACACATCATGTCAGCACCCCGTGGACACGGACGCCCCCTTGCCCCCCTGGGCCAGGCCAACCTGGGCGGCCTCTGGGGCTCAGGGGCCAGCACAGCCCTGGCTCCCTCGTCCTGCCCCCCGCGGCTCCCGGCCGAGGGGAGGGCGAGGGCCGTCCTGCTGTGCTCTATGGAGAGAGGCGCACCGGGGACCTTATTTATTATTTAAATCGTCAAGCAGCAAAGCACGCTTCTTTATTTGTCTCTCCTCCTTGTTGTCCTCCTCCTCCCCCCTCCCCTCTTCCCCCCATTCTGGTCCCGCCATGGGGACGTGCCCCCTGGCGGAAGCAGCCCAGCTCTGCCCGGATGGCTCTCCAGAGGAGACAACGTGGGGGTTTGGAGCTGGGAATCCGGGAGAAGCTCATTCCCTTTCGGATGGTACAGATGCTTTTACCTTCGGACAACCACCACCCCTCCCTCTCCCCCCCCGGGGCCCCCCAAACCCCTGCACCTGGGCGCCTCCCCCCCCACACACCGCTAGCTCCAGGCCCCATGAGCCCTCCCGGATCCCCCCCTTCCGTCCGTCCGTCCGTCCGTCCTTCCTCCTGGACGGGCCTTGGCCTTGGGGACAAATTCCTCTGTGATGAATGTACCCTGTGGGAATGTTTCATACTGACAGAATTATTTTTATTTATTCAATGTCATATTTAAAATATTTATTTTTTTATACTGAAGGAATCTTTTTTTTTTTTTTAAGAAGAAAAAAAAGAAATTAATAAAGAATCTGCTCTTGGCAAGCTCTCCCGAGTGTCCTGATGTGGGGAGGTGGGGCTGGAGGCGTCGGGGAGGAGGTCTGTCCTGCGCAGGCCGCCGTAGGGTGGGGCTCTGCCCCGCTGAGGGCAGGGGCTGGGCGAAGGGGGTGCCTCCGCTCCCTGCAGGGGCCAGCGAGGGCGAGGGAGGGGGACACGTCGGTGTCTTCGCCCCTTCACTCCCATCCCTTCCCTCACCTCCGTGGCCCCAGGAGTCCCATTAACCAGAGGGGGAAACTGAGGCTCAGAGCGGTGAGGCCATGTGCCCGGGGCCACCCTCCCAGGCTGCCTCCCCTCCACGGAGCTCCAGGGACCTGGGCCCGCGGTGGGCAAACCGCGGCTCTCCGGCCCCCGGAGTGTGGCTCCCCCACAAAGCACCACGGCCCGGCCCGGTCTGTGCTGAAGACGCGGCGCCAGACGGAGTCGAAGTTTAAAACGTGTGGCTCTTCAAAGACACGTCCGTCGTGGTCCTGTTGGCGTTCGGCTCTGCGGACGAATGCGTTTGCCGACCCCGGGCCTGGACCACGCCAGCACCGTGACCCTTCGCGGGGAGGTGCGCGCCGCGGGCGTGAGTGAGTGAGGAGTGAGTGAGTGAGTGAGTGAGTGAATGAGTGAGTGAATGAATGAGTGAGTGAATGGCTCTGCAGCAGAAGTTCAAGGTTCCTGTCTGGGACCAGGCAGGATGCCGGGGCCAGAACCAGGCCTTCCGGTCCGGCTCTCCTGGGCCTGAGCCGCCCTCCCCAGCGGCCCTCCTCCCTCCTGCCTCGGCCCTGGGGCCTGCACCCGCCCGCTCCCCAGCCCCCCGGACCCTTCCCTTGGGGAACGAGGGAGTCTGAGGCCACAGGAGCACAGACACCGAGCATCGGCCCTGCTCTGGGGTTGGCGTCTGGGCGCCCCCAGCGGAGGTCCATCTGGGGCCTGGGACGTCTCTCCCGAGGGTCCCCTGGGGGCTGGTCCACGGATGTCTGTCCGGTCAGGCCCGGTGCTGGCGACGGGACCCAGTCCGCTCCTCCCGGGCGCTCCCAGGCCTGTGGGGACCGGGAGGAGCCACCTGGGATGCGGGAGTGATGGGAGGGGCTCCTGCAGGTCTGGGGGAGGTGGGGAGACCCCTGGCAGGGCCCCCCTGCTTCCTGGGCAGTGACAGCCACGCCCGGGAGCTGATCAGGAGCTCAGAATCCTTCCCCCCCCCAGGCCTGCTGTGTCCAAGCCTGCCCCCCCATCCCCCAAGATCCCAGACAATCGGGGAAGTTAGGCCTGAGCCAGCGGCTGGGGTGAGGCCTGGAGCCTCGCACAGCTGTTCGCCTCTTCCTCCCCAGCCCCAGCCTCGGCCCCTCCCTGCGGCTCCGGCCCACGCCAGGCCACACCCCCGAGCCCTCTCCCTTCCCCTCGCTCCTGGGAGCCAGGTCCAGGCTTTTCCAGAAGATCCCTTTCCTAGGAGACTGGGGGGAACAACACAAACACCACAGCACAGGGACGAGGGGCGATGCGGGGTGCAGCCCCCAGGCCGTCCTGCGGGCGGGGGGCCGGGGGCACCTCTGTCTGCAGGGCTGGCACTCAGGTGCTCGCTCCCGGCCTGGCCCAGCAACAGAGCCAAGGACGGCTCCCCGGTTACTGGCAGCGGCAGGAGGGAGGTCCCTGCTCTGCTGGGAAGCCCCCACCCCCACCCCCACCCCCGGTGAGGGCAGCTCCCTCTGTGGGGAAGGGGGTCCTGCCCGCTCACAGGGCCGCCCAGAGGCGCCAGGAGGCTGCCATGCTGTGTATGTGGGACGGCGGCCCACCTGCAGGTGGAGGTTGGAGAGAATGAAGCTCAGGCAGCCACGCCCGCCCCCTCCGCGGGGCAGGGCCTGGGGGTCCTCTCCCCTCTCCTGCCGGCTCGGGGCCAGGCGGGCGGGAAGGGGGCGCAGGGTGGGGCCTGTGTGTGTGTGGGACCGGGGGGGGAGGCACTATGTGTGTCTGACGAGGGGCCTCGGTCCTGGGGTTCTGGCGAGGAAGGAATTCAGAGCCAGGACCCCGGACGGTAAGAGCCGTTCCGGGGCAGACGGCAGAGGCAGGAGGAGCGGCTCCCGGAGGCAATGGGCCCAGCAGGCAAGTGCTCGGGGCCGAGGCAGGGCCCTGGGAGCCTGGCAGCGAGGGAGCTCCCCGGGGGACCCAGCCCCGCGGTCGGCAAACTGCAGCTCGCGAGCCACATGCGGCTCTCTGGCCCCTTGCGTGTGGCTCTTCCACAAAACACCACGGCCTGGGCGAGTCTGGGTTGGAGAAGTGGCGTTGGAAGAAGCTTACGTTTAAAAAAATGTGGCTCTCCAAAGACATGTCCATCGTGGCACTGTTGGTATCTGGCTCTGCGGACAAATGAGTTTGCCGACCACTGGCCTAGAGGTCAGGTGCTGGGGGCCGGGGGGCGGGGGAGGGAAGGGAGAGGGAAGGGGGGCTGGGCATGCTCCCGGAGGGAGAGCGCCCCGGGGTCCGTCCTCAGGGGTGCAGGGCAGGGATTTTGGAGAAAGTTCCGGAAAGACCTTCCAGAACGCTCAGCGGCGTCTCGGCTTCCCAGGTGTGTCCTCTCAGGGTGCGGCCTCCACCTGGCGGACGGCTGGGCCGCACCAGGCCGCGCCCTGATTCGGAGCAGCTGGTCCTGACCGCGGCCGCGGCCGCGCCTTTCTCTCGGGGGGGAGAGGTCAGGGGTCCTGGGGGACCTCCTGTGCCCGCCCCTCGCCCGGCTCTGCCACGTCTGTCCACGGGCCTGTAGCAGACGGACCCCAGCTGACGGCTTCTCTGAGGCCCCAGAGCCCCATCCTGAGAAGACCCGCACCGAGAGGCCCCCGCAGCCCAGCCTCCTCCCACCCTGGCTTTTTTGGGGGGGTTAAAGGTCAGGGGGAACCCTCACACCACCCCACCAGGAGGAGGATGGCCAACAGCCACTCCCCTGGGTGCACACGCCCACGGCTCAGGGGCGGTTCTGTCCCATCATCACGGCTCCCCCATTCTGAGGGCCGGTGACTGTCTCCATGTGACAGACGGAGGCCTGGGGTGTCACTCAGTTTGGGAGGCATTTGCTTATCTTCTTTAAAAAAAAAAAATATATACATATATATATATATATATATATATATATATATATATATATATATATATTGATTTCAGAGAAGAAGGGAGGGAGAGGGAGAGAGAAAGATCTGTGACGAGAGAGCATCGTGGGTCGGCTGCCTCCTACACGCCCCCCACCTGGGAATGGAGCCCACGACCGGGGGCCCTCGCCCCGACCGGGAATTGGACGTGACCTCTCGGTGTCAGGGTCGCCGCTCCCTCGCTGAGTCACCCTGGGCCCAGCGGTAGTGGCTTATCTTTCATGTCCATCACCTGCCACTCCCCTGGTCTGGACCCTGAGGGCAGCTGCGGGCCCAGGTACTCAGGCTCAGAGGCAGAAAGAAGTTAACGTCTCAGCTCGCCTCTGCCCTCCATCCGGACTCAGTGGAAGGGGCATTCACCGATCACACTAAAAAAAAAAAACACACACACACCCACGTTTTCAGCAACGAATCTGACGCCATCACGGAGCCCCTGTCCTGACACGGCTCCCTCTGTTCCACGCAGTGCGGAGAGGCACATCATAAGAACACGGATCCGCTTCAGGGGCGGTGGCCGCGGGGGGGAAAGCCGAGAC